CAAACTGCCTTACTTTTTCAATACATACTACATACAACTGGGGGACATAACACTAAGGGGTAAAATTTACCCCCCACCATATGCACTGCGGTTTCAACATGACTCGTCACTTGAACTGTGCCCTCGTTCTCGGTATACGTCCTGCCTACAGACATTCCTCTGTTTTGCCTACATGATATTCTGCCTACAGGCACCCTTTTTTTTACAAACATTACATTCGTCCTGTCTACAAACTGCCTTCCGAGGGAATCCGAAACGTCAGGAAAATAAAGTCCTTGTTCCAGTGATCGCATCCTCTTGTTCTGTTCTTATTTATCATACGAGGTTCGTTTAATTATGGTCAAGATACGTGTTCCGAAACGTCAGGAAAATAAAGTCCTTGTTCCAGTGATCGCATCTTCTTCTAACATAACACACTATAGATCCCTTTAGCGCACAGGCGACCGAAAACTCTGAAATTTAAAAAAGGAACCTATTATCATTTTTCATTTTTACTATCTTTCGATTGTGAGATCGCACGTCAGCTTGCCGATTCCATTTAGACTGGACCTAGGGCCCATAATGACCCGTGCTTGGCTATCTCGGTATCTGAACTGAGCAGTGATACGTGCTAGATGCTGAGCCTGACAGTCAGTGGTACCTGAGGGAGACGCTGCTTGTAACCATGACAACAATTCGCAATCACGAATCCTTCTCCTCCCCCAACCCCAGTTACTTGCAGTTGGACTACAGAAACATGCCAATGATTGTTGTTCTCTCATTTTCTCTGACGGTGGCCTCCTAGTAGAGTCCGAGAGCTCAGACTACTACAAGTGCTGTCCCAGTGAACGCGCCTCTGAATTCTTTGCAAAACTGAATACTCTTTAAACGGCTACTTGTGCAGGCAAGATACCGTTGCTGCCAGGAGACGCTTGTCTCTTTTACTTATCGAATGTGTAACGCTGGATTTGATTGTGGACGAACAAAGGAATAGTTGGAATAAGTAATTCAACCTACTGAAAATTTGTAAGTAGGAGGTTATAATACATAAAGACCTTCTACAACCCCAGTAGGTACTCTCACCCTCAGAATAATGCTAGTGCTGTCCCAGTGATCGCGCCTTTGACTTATTTACGATTCCCGTTTTGTTTTTGACATCACAAGATAATGCTGATACCTCAATTTCTGTTCTACGTGTTTCAGAGGTCTTGTCATCTGGCAATCTAAAGGATCAGAATCGTACAAATTCCCGATTGTATCCTGGAGTACCTCCCCTGTTATTAAGTTTGGAGTTTGGAAGCCAATACACATAAAAATGTGAAGCACTTACTCAACGCTGTCATCTGGAAGCCGGGCTAGCACCTCATTGTACTCCTCGGCCGTGATTTGGTGATCTCGGTTGCGATCGAACGTTTGCCAGAAACTCTGTTCGGTAAAAGAATAAATGGAGATTTCTCATGAGAATTGAGGTTTGTCGTGAAGATCTTAGCCTTAGGGTCCATGGAGAACATTGGCATAGTATATTAGATACCGCTTTTTAATTCTACTTTCAGAAACAAATACGTAAAAGCGTGCAACAAATTTCGAAAACTATGCGCACATATTCAGTTGGCCTCCTTATTGCAGGAAAAATTAGATACTGTGTATAAAAAGTATACCATTTTGATATACATCCTATGCGTGAAACCACAAGTCCAACGACTCGGTATCTTTGGCATTTGCAATATACTGTGGCATAGAAACTTATCGCACCACGAATTACCTGAAATAGCTTCGTGTTAAGTCACCTTATGGACGTAGAAGACAGCCGACATGTGCACCTACCTGTTTCTCCTCCTGTTAAATCTTAACCAGCGGTCAGACAGCTCTATTTCAGATCCCAACTTTGTGAAGCTAAAAAATACCTTAACGTAACTAGACCGAATAGAAGACTTGACTGTCTATAATTTAAACAAAATTTCTCCAATTCTCTACAAGTTCTATTAGTTCAGTTTCGTGAAGACGTATCTACCGCAATAAAATCAACGCAAAAAACAAATTTGACGCGTTGAGCGCAGACGATGACTGCTTTTATTCTGACTAACCTATTATATGATGCCACTCTTCTAGAGTATGTGTTTTGCCTTTACTTCTGCTTGCTCAGTTCAAAAGGCCATTATTTTTTTATAAAGTGAGCAAATTTCTCAATCGAATAGATTGCATAGGTACATAATATTTTTTACCTCTTAAAATGTCAATAAAAATTCTTGAAAGTGTTCTTTTTACTAAAGTAAGGTTGCTGTACTAG